GGTCCGGGCTGGGGATTCGAACCCGCCACCTTAGGTGTACGTGGCTGGCGCCTTAGCCGCTTGAGCCACAGGCGCCGAGCCAAGTTTGAAAATTTTCAAAGTTCCTTTATTGTTTTCTTAGTACACTTGGCAAAACTCTAATTCCATTTAAAAAGTGGGGTTTTTTGGTTTTTTTTTTTTTGAGACACAATCTCACTTTGTCACCCTTGGTAGAGTGTCACGGTGTCATACCTCATAGCAATCTCACTCTTGGGCTCAAGCAATTCTCTTGTTTCACCCACCTGAGTAGCTGGGACTAAGGTGCCCTCCACAATGCCCAGCTATTTTTAGAGATGGATCTCCCTCTGGCTCAGGCTGGTCTTGAACCTGTGAGCTCAGGCACTCCACCTGCCTTGGCCTCCCAGAGTGCTGAGATTACAGGACTGAGCCACGGCGCCCAGCCCCTGAAAAAGTGCTTTTAAAAAAAAAATAGTAACTTTCGACAAGGTCTAAGTATGTGTGAGGTGAAGAGAATCCTATGTGTAATTTTTACAAAGCAAGTTTGTAAAATTTGCAAAGCTTCCTAACTGCCACTGAATCCACTGGCACGTACATATTTTCTCTCTTTTCAGCATGGTAGAAAGCAAAGAGAATGGAAATAAGGCAGTAGGAAGGAATGAAAGAATGAAGATAATAAAGGCAGGTCAGCAAAGGACATCTTTCATTCCCCTCTTTTTTTCCCTCTAACATCTTGGGAGATTTCTCAGCAGCTAACATCTATGTGTAAAGAGAATACTTTGCTAGGAAAAGCGAAGAATCAAAACTAGCAGGGTGTGGTGAGAATCAGGAAGATGGCCAAGGAAGTCAAGGGAGGAAGCTCAGTAAAACCATTCCTGTCATATGGACCTTCTTTTTATAAAGCTGTTAGAATTAAATTTGACTTATATGGAATAATATGGAATATTATTTATATTTTGTTTAATTTGATTTATATTTAAATCATCACTTCTGATACAGTCTCATGTTGATGTAGTACTTAAATGGAAAACTGAAGTGATACAAAGCCAGATGATTGTCCTTTTGTCACTGATAAGGCTTTTCTCCCTTCAAGATTTTGATAAGGAAATCCCACACTATGAGGTAATATTTGCCTCTGTACCTATGCATCTGAGAGTCACAAGCCACCAAGGGCCAGATTAACTTATCTGTATTAAGGGTTTTGGGGGGAATGAAAGGTCATCCACATAGCTGATCATTTCCCAAGCAAACTTACTTAGACTCAGTTTTATTCTATCACACTGGGTAGAGTGCCATGGCATCATAGCTCACAGCGTCAAACTCTCAGGACTCAAATAGTCCTCTTGCCTCAGCCTCCCAATTAGCTGGGGCTATAGGACTGTGCCACATGCCTGACTTTTTTTTTTTTTTTTTTTTTGGTTGTTGTTGTTGTTACAGTTTGGCCGGGGCTGAGTCCAAATCCACCACCCTCAGTACCCACTGAGCCACAGGTACCGCCTTTTTTTTTTTTTTGAGACAGATTCTCACTATGTTGCCCTAGATAGGGTGCTGTGGCATCACAGCTCACAGCAACCTCAAACTCTTGGGCTTAAGCGATTCTCTTGTCTCAGGCTCCCAAGTAGCTGGGACTATAGGCGCCCACCACAATGCCCAGCTATTTTTTTGTTGTAGTTGTCGTTGTTTGGCAAGCCCAGGCTAGATTCAAACTTGCCAGCTCTGGTGTATGTGGCTAGCATCCTTAGCTGAGCTACAGATGCCAACCCATCTATTTTTATTTTTATTTCTCACTTTTTTATTTTTTTGTGACAGAATCCCACTGTGTTGCCTCAGTAGAGTGCTGTGACAGCACAGCTCATGGCAACCTCAAACTCTTGGGCTTAAGTGATTCTCTTGCCTCAACCTCTCAAGTAGCTGGGACTACAGATGCCTGCCACAATACCTGGCTCTTTTTTTGTTGTAGTTATCATTGCTATTTAGCAGGCCCAGGACAGGTTCAAACCCACCAGCTTTGGTGTATTTGGCCAGTGCCCTAACCACTGAGATACCAGCACCAAGTCAATTTTTCTATTTTTAGTAGAAATGCAGTCTCACTCTTGCTCAGGCTGGTCTCGAACTCCTGAATTCAAGCAATCACCTACCTTGGCCTTCTAGAGTGCTAGAATTAGAGGGGTAAGCCATGGCACCCAACTACTTAGACTCAGTCTTGAAAATTATCTGGAGGGTTCACAATCATGATTACCAGCAAGGTCTAGACTGAAGAGGAAGTCCATTTAAGGCTAACCCAGACTCTCCACAATTGATTTTGGAGTGAGGGTGACCTTAGTTTAGGTTAGAGTGCCAGAGCTATATACCCTCGGGCTAAGTGAGAATTGGATTTACCCTCTTTACAAAGTAAAGTAACCAGAACAAACTCAAGTTATTTTAAGTAGACTCAGCTTAAACCAGATGGCCAGCTGAACACTGAAGGTGCATGTGTCAAGACCCATCTTCAAAGTCAAGCCACAGTGACTAACAAAACAGGCGAGATTTGCCTGTAAATATTATCCTGAATGATTAGGAAAGAGAGACGAGAAGACAGCAATGAAGTGCAACAAATGCCAAAGGCTGGCCCATAAAGGAAGGTATTTGGGTGAATGTAATATCACTAGAAAAGGAAAAGGTAGCAGAGTGTGTGGCAGGAATTGTATCCCTCAATAACAAACATACGTACACGTTTGAGTAGGTGGAATTTGTTAATGTAAGAAAAATTAGGAGTTTGTAATGAGCTCAAAGTACTGGAATAGAGAATACAGTGCAACAACAATATATACACAGACACACATGCTCACATGTTTACATTATTTTTCAGTTTAGCTTCTTACATCTTTTCCTGACTTCATAGCAGCACACAGGTTACAGGGTTGTAGGAGAAGCAAATAGATGTCAGACACCAGTGATCATACCAAGAAATGATACAGGGGACTTTCACAGACTGGATTCTAAACCTAATCCCAATGGATAGGGTGGTTTCCATCACCTCCATACACATCCTCACATGTCCAAAATAGGCCAGTGTAGCTGTATCACACTCTAACATGGTAGTATGTCCAGGAGATTTCATGAAAAGTTGCTAGAGGCCATAAGAGTCTGGGCACCGTAGTTTCGTAGGACAAAGTCTATGGAGAAGGCCTTTCCATTGTCAGGCTTAGCTGGAAACTCATTCACTTAGAGGGAAGAGGTGAGGCATGACTTGTCAGAACTGAAGAAAGAGATTGTTGGGAAGCCTTTTCTCTGTCACTGACAAGTGTGTTACACAACATTCAAGCGGATGTCCCCGCAGGGAATTTCTGTTGGTGTTTCTGGAGTGATACTTTTAATAATGCGCTGTTGGGAAGAAAATACAATATTATAAATTTTCTTGTAATTTCATATACTTGCACAAATATTTCAACATTCACATTAAAGCTTTAATATCATTCTAATAACATTTAATAGCTGGAATAGTCTCATTGGCCTTCCTTGAGAAAGGAATTCTCTATTCTAAAATATGGATAAAAATGGTAGATTCAGGACCTATAAGAACCTGTAAGCTAAGAAAATCATTTTAACACCAATTAGAGAAAAGGATGAAGCCTTCCATAGAATCTCTGCTGTCCTATAAAATGCCTTTGAATAACTTAGGAAAAGGTACCCTTTTCTCTGGACAGAGGGAAACATCGGCAGCCACACAGGGCTTGGGGACCAGAGTGAGTGCTGGATTTGACACACATGCACCCCGCCCCACCATTAGTCAGGCTCCTTGTGCCTTGTGCCATCAGCCACTATAACAGTCAGGATGTTACTGATTTAACGAATCCACTTGTAAGGCAGTCCTGGTTCATACAAGAATATATATTATCACATAATTTTAAAAGATGCGACCATTTAAATCATCACTTCTAATACAATCTCATGTTAATGTAGCACTTACCCCGGAGAAGAGAGTGAGAATTTCTACTATAGAAACAACTGAGGTACACAGAAGTGCTTAAGACAGATCTGAAATATGCCTGGGCTTAGGTGTGAAATATACAACCTGTCTTGTAAAACTTAGCATCAGAGGGACATGAAGCAGCTGAGGTATGGAGACGGAAACATTAGCAGCACTGCAGAGGCCCTGAAAACTCTTGACCAAAAGTCTTCTTAGGTGCAGCTCTGCTACTGTCCCTTTCATTTTGGAAAGTATGGAGTCCCCTTTAAGCTTTTCTTTATTGTTCTTTAGGGATTGTGGCCTATGAATTTTAAAAGTTTCAGGCTCGGCGCCTATAGCTCAACCGGCTAAGGCGCCAGCCACCTACACCTAAGGTGGCGGGTTCGAATCCCCAGCCCGGACCCGCCAAACAACAATGACGGCTGCAACCAAAAAATAGCCGGGCGTTGTGGCGGGCGCCTGTGGTCCCAGCTACTTGGGAGGCGGAGGCAGGAGACTCGCTTGAGCCCAGGAGTTGGAGGTTGCTATGAGCTGTAATGCCAAGGCACGCTACCCAGGGGGAGAGCTTGAGGCTCTGTCTCAAAAAAAAAAAAAAAAAAAAGTTTCAGCTCTGCAATTAATGAAACTCACAAATTTTTACATTTTGTGTTCCTCAGGACTTTAGTATCTGAGGAGTGAACTCTCACACCATCAAACCTAAAAAGGAGCTATCACAGTGCTCACAAGCTACCAGGACATATCAAGTCACTGAATGCAAAATTTTAGGAACCATTCCTCCCCATAGATAAACATGTAAACTATAACTGATTAATGGGAATTAACTGAGAATTATGTCATGCTAACCAGGAACTAGTTAGCAGAGACCAGAGACCACTACAACTAGCCTTAAGCGTAGGTATGATGTGCAGAGACAGATCACTGAGGTGTAGGGTGGGGGCCAGACCAGCATTAAACAGCATTACAAAGTAAAATTCTTAGCTCTTGTGCCCTGACCTGCCCAGGATGGCTGCTTATGGCCCCAAATACCAGGCTCACTTTTGTTCTGGCACCATCCTAGTTGCCAGACTACTGTTGTTTTCAAAATTAGCCAAGCCTTGGCCTTCTGTAAGATGATAACCAGTTAATCTAGAAAAAGGATCACTGTTGATATCTTCATAAATGTGTACTCATTAGGACTGTCTTCCAGTATCTTTGTCATGTTATTAGTGGTTTCTGTGATCGAAGCCAGTGGATGACTGCAACCTTGAGATGTCTAGGCTACAGGTACATGTGATAGCCTCCAAATTATACCAGTAAGTGGTGGCTCACTCCACAAACTCCAACTTTTTATATCGCCAGGGTCCAAAACAGTTAAGAACTTACCCTTCTCTTAGCCTTTTCTTTTTTTTTTTTAACCAGACCAAAATTTCAGATAAGGTCTCCCAATTCATGGAATGTTACAGATTATCGAGTTTGGTATTCACAAAGAACTATAAATAATTCTAGGCCCTTGGGGTGCTTAGCAAAAAAACACGGCCTGCTTTATCTCCCTCAGCAATTTAGCATGCAGATGGGCAAATTAAAGTTTTTTGAGAAATTCTGTAGTAAAGAAACCCATTCAACTTGACTTAATCTGGTATTCTCCAAAAATTATCCGATTATCCTTTTTCCCCAGCAGTAAAACCTATTGAAATCTCATGGAACTACTTACAACACACTTTGGGAAATGTTAATATAGTCCAGCAAGCGTATTTTAACAATAAGGAAACTGAGGCCTAGCAAAGGAGGAGTAATTTCCCATAGCTGACTAGGGCTTCTTCCTCACAGTCCTCTTTGACAGCATGTGTCATACTGTTCCTGAAAACCCACTGCTCCCCAGCTGGTGGCCTGCGCTGAAGATGGCTGGATAATTCTTACCTCTACTGTTAACAGAGCTGAGCTGTGTTACTTACATACCTTCAGGGGGCATTCCCATGTGACCAACTGGGGGGATTTGCAAGAAAGATGACCAAGATTTGAGATGCAGTCTGTGACTAAAGAATACTGACATTTATTAACCTAAATAGTTCCCATCCCAGCCCTTGGCCTCTGGGTTTGAAACAACAGAGCTTAGGGATCACGACAACTGCCATAAAGGACAACCTGAAGGAATGACTTCAATCCTCTGGGTCTGAGAGTGTACTACAAGCAATAACAGGTATAAGGCTCTTTAGGAAGAATGAGGTCATGTTAGGGCTAGTTGGGTGAAAGAACTTAGCAACTGCAGAATTCTTCTCACCTAGAATTCAAATCGTTTTCCTATTTGGAAAAAGAAATGAACCCAGGTAAGAGCTGACGTTTAATTGCCTCTGTTCTCTTGCTTCTCATTTCTTATGTTTTAGGAAGATTCATATGACAGTCTCATGTCTGAGTTTTCTTGTAAGAGCCCACCTCCATTCTCAGGCCATCATAGATTACTGTCCCTTCCAACTTTCCCCAAACACCACCCTTCACCTTTGGGCTTGGCCCCTGAAAAAGCACCAACTATGAACGTGTGAGTGGCCACTTCCTCAGGTTCTTCTGTCATTACACCCTATTCCTGTGGCAAGAAATACAATCAAACAAGTAAGAACTGAGGCATTTTAAAATCTGGTAATATGAAGCATGACACTGCCAGGAATCCTGGTGGCTACACCACTGACTATGGCAGCATGGGAGGGAAAGTGGCTACTCATCTCTCTCTAACCTCTAGCACCAATTTCTACTTTAGCAAACCCTGAGGACAAGAGGGAAACTGAATATAAAAGTGAAAAGAACAGTGGAGCAAGGAATCAGAAGACCTGGGTTCTGTCCTTGGACAAACCACTGAACTAAGGAAACTGAGCAGAATAATTTCCAGCTTCTGTGTCCTTGTCCGCTAATAATACCTGCTCCCCTCCACCTGCCAAGGTATTTTGATAACAAAATGAGATAATCTACATGCTGGTGCTTTGAAAAGTATATACGCTTATACAAATTGGAAAGTACTGTTATCAAAGTTTCTACAGCACATTCATTACTGAAATGAATCTTACTATGATGGCAAAAAACTTTTACTCCATTGGCTTGAACTAAAACTACAATATTACTTACCAATTTTTGAGCTAAAACTGATATTGTTGTAATATCCTTATTTTGAGATGGTTTTCAAAATAGCACTTATCACATTGTGGTTATAAAAATGACCATGGACATTCTCCACTTAAAATGTGTGTATCGGCTCGGCGCCTGTGGCTCAAGCGGCTAAGGCGCCAGCCACATACGCCTAAGGTGGCGGGTTCGAATCCCCAGCCCAGGCCCGCCAAACAACAATAATGGCTGCATCTCCAACCAAAAAATGGCCAGGCGTTGTGGCGGGCGCCTGTAGTCCCAGCTACTTGGGAGGCTGAGGCAGGAGACTCGCTTGAGCCCAGGAGTTGGAGGTTGCTGTGAGCGTGATGCCATGGCACTCTACCCAAGGGGATGGCTTGAGGCTCCGTCTCAAAAAAGAAAACAAAAAAAAATGTGTGTATCGCTCCAGACAGCACCGATCTGATGTCCACTCCCAATGGCCAAGTAAGAGGCAAAGTAGTAATCTGATAAGTTTGAAAAGCTATACACAGCCCAAGATGAAGGCTGTGGGGCACCCAAAAGATCAGCTCACTCTTTTGCCATTGTATTTGAGACTTTGGGAGATGCCTTCAGAAGATAGTGGCAGCCAGTAGAGGTCTAGACCATGATACAGATATATAAATACATAAAGTTGAGAGCCTCTTGGTGAATTTCATGTGGTTGACTTACCTCTTTTGAATACAGCATAACAAAAGAATCCCTTTCTCCCAAAACAGTAGCCTAAATACACACACATACACACACAAACACATACCTCCTTAAATGTCCCTGGAGTGATAATCAGCCGATAAGCTATGTATGTGGGGATACAGATGACAGATGAAGTTCCTATGCAGTACCCCAGGATGATACTCCAGTGCGGATAATTATAATGGAAAAGTCGTAGCTGTGGCGGGCTCATCAAAAAACTGCAAAGGATGAACTAAAACAGAAATTCCAAGAAACATTAAATATCTTAATAATATCCACGCAGATAGCTCTGACAAGTAGCAAATGAGAAAGGTAAGATACTTTGGGGAAATTCTCCAAATATGCTATATCCTAATTTGAAATCTGACACACAAAATTACCAATTTCTCTACCCAAGCTGCAAGAATAAAACAGCCAGGTGCTTTGCTTGCCTTTCTCCCCCACCCCCATCCCTACAGTGGGGATATTATAGCATCCCTACAGTTAGGGAAGTTAACAGCACCCTCTTCAATGCAGTCCACTGTCAAGGAAAAAAGATTGCACTGAGAGTGGTCTGAGCCCAGACTTGCCAGAAAGCCGCGGAATAAACTGAGTGACCTCTCCACAACCCTTCCAGACCTGGGGCTTCCTACTTCTCTCTGCTTTGTTTTCATTCCCATGCATTTCTCAGTTGTGACTGGTTTTGGTCAGATTAAAAGTGCCTTGTGTCCAAGGAAGATAGTAAGGTTCTCAAGACCTGGAGAGGACTTGGGCTTCTGGGTATGTGTTCTTTTTCCCCTTTCCTTGAGCTCCCTGCTTTCTGCATTGAGCTCTATAGCCTGGGGTTTCAACAAGGATGGCTCTGCCAAGATGCATTTCAGCAAGTCCTCATAATGAAAGGCATTACGGAAGGAAAGCAGCAGCTTAATACACTTGCCACTTGAAAATTCTGTGAAAATTTTGAACAAGAAAAATTCCATGGTGCGCTCCCACCACCCAGCTTATGAGTTTTCTTATTTCGGTTTGGTTTCTAGAGAGTGTAAATATCAGTTTTTGCCTAGTAACCACTGTGCCGAAATTGTTATTGCCCTTGATTTAATTTTATTATTTCACAGTCATAAAGAAGACAGTAATGTAAATTATTTGTGTGGTTAAACATCTATTTATATCTTTTTTTCTTTGTCTGCAGGTAATAAAATGGGAAATTATTAAATACACATCCATCTTCTGAGCAGTGTTATCCTAAGTCCAGGAGGAAGCCTTCAAAACAGGAGCCTATTCAATTGCAAATCCTTCTCCCGACCTATTCTCCCCATCCCCAGACCCAGCGACTAAGGAAGATCCTTTTGGAATGGGGAAGGACAGGGTCTCGTTAGGGGCCATCCCTGCCACAGCTTGTCTTATCTTGATGGCGGGTATGTGGAGTCATCTCAGCCAGGGAGGGCTCTTGTTGCAGCAAGCGCCACTTCAGAAACCCCTGACACGCCCTGGCCTCTCCCTGCTCATACACGTTTTCTTTTTTTGTAACTTGGCTTCAGTGAAAAAGAGTATTTTTAGTAAGCTACTTGTTGTTTACCTAAAGCAGTCTTAAAAAGCCCAGAGCAGGGGATCTGTTAAGTAAACCTAGAAGTGGAAGACAGATTTTCCTCCTCTTAATTGGGCACTAGAGCACTTGCCTTTAGAGGAGGTGAGTAAAGCAAACATCATGAGAGTTATGAGTAATGCGCCTGAGCCCAAATCTATACATGGGCTTTGCTGGGCAAGGAAACCCATTGAGTGTGCGCCAAGAGCTGACGACCAGAGAGTCACAGAAATGAACACTGCGAAAGCCTCAGGGCCAGGACTAGGTG